TCAGCTGAATGCAGCAAAATGTGAAAGTAGTGCCCTAGTGCCCCTAGGATCATAATTTGGTTTTGGGAGTCCCCAACAACAGGTTTACATGCATGCAAGATCAAAAAACAGGTTCATTTTCTTATAACATGCATTTAATTTTATGTTATTTCTCAAGGACTCTCAAACGATTCATTCAAAGATTCATCTTTCCAAACCCCTCCTTTGCGTGAAGCTACTCTGCTCCGATTGGTCAGATGACCCAGTCAGTTGTGATTGGTTTACTAAGTACAGCCAGGGTGCGAACTACGGGGGAGCTAGGAGGAGCTCGGCTCCCCTTAATAAGACATGGGCTCCCCTGAAAACGTGATTTGTGAAATTTTGGGGGGTCTCAAAAAATATTGACAATGTGTTATTTTGACGTGCAATTTCAGTTTTGTGTAATGTGATCATCGTGGATTATTTTGTGTAAAATTGCAAAAATATCATTCATTCATGCATGACGGCGATTTAAACCTAATTCACTTCAATAAAGATAACTATACATACATGCTATTCTTGTCATGAGCATCAAGGTGTGGGGGCGCTGCGGTGCAAATTCCACTCATGTTTAGTACATGTTAACTCAAAGATTCGTAGAAAAAATATAAACGTTGGACTCTGTGGTCGGTTCTGTGTTAAGGTAAGGCATGTTCTTCGCAATTATGTGTTGTGGCTGGGTTGTTATAGGTCTGCGTGACTCTCAATGTCTTAGGCCTAATTGAACGTAGGAATTATGGTATTAATTATAGTGCTTGCATAAAGCAAGTAGTGCATACACTTGTAGCTGTTATGTATCTTTGTAATTCATTGTAAGCCCATGCCCAAGCGCACGAACAAATATGAATTGAAAAACTGCTAAATATCATTGTCATAGTGACACAGACATTTTAGTAAAAATAATGCAAAAAACAGTTTTAATAGGTGTTAAGAAATATTTATAACTCGCTAAGATTTACTCATCATTGGCAGTTGTTGCTATTTATGTTGTGTGCTGTATCGTCTAAATATAAGGCATTGTCTCTATTTCAAGATCTTCCACACTATACAAAGTATTTTTACATTGCTTTTGTTAAAACACTTATTGAATGTGTCTCTAGTCAAATTAATTCAGACTAAGCTTTGACAATGACGCAACGAACAAATCCAGCAATCCAGTAAATAAATTGCTCAGTTTATTTAACATCACTTCTTCTCCTGCCTTGATCAACTTGATAAAGCGTTTGTCGGGCTTTTGAATCTCAAACAGAAATCATGGTCTGTGGTTTCTTATGTGATGCATAAAGCTGTGCTATGGCTTAAAAACATAAATTACAGAGACTTTTCTAAGTATCAGTATCCAGCCTTCTGTAAATTTGTATCTCTGTCTCTTTAAATTGTTTTGCAGTGTCCTCAATATGTCTCCCATGGTGTTCCTGAAAACCAGAAACAGAATAAACCTTTTCATTTTTTTAACTTGAAAGTTATTGTTTATCCAGTTTCCAGACTGATTGATTAAACAGGGACATATCTGCTCATTATATCTTTATTTGTCTTTTGCCGATGTATAACAACACGAAAACAATACAGGATCTTTATCAAATAACAAGCCATTTGGGTTTGAGTTTCACTGCTCATTTAAATCACATTCTCAAGATCGCCTCAGAAAACTTGTGCTGGGCAGTCAGAGAATAGAAGTATAGATTTCAGTTTGATTTATGGTCTCATGGGACTGTGTGCAATAATCTGACTACTTTATTGACTAGTGAAATATTCATTGGCAGCAGGCTGGTTGGAAAATGCTGATGTTTAGTATGCTTCTTTGTTTTAGTTTCCAAAATAGTTTTGTACTGAATATTACCATACTGAACCACCAATCAAGCATGCTGTTTTAAACTACTTGAGTCTCACTGTTTGACATTACCGTATATCAGCTGAATGCAGCAAAATGTGAAAGTAGTGCCCTAGTGCCCCTAGGATCATAATTTGGTTTTGGGAGTCCCCAACAACAGGTTTACATGCATGCAAGATCAAAAAACAGGTTCATTTTCTTATAACATGCATTTAATTTTATGTTATTTCTCAAGGACTCTCAAACGATTCATTCAAAGATTCATCTTTCCAAACCCCTCCTTTGCGTGAAGCTACTCTGCTCCGATTGGTCAGATGACCCAGTCAGTTGTGATTGGTTTACTAAGTACAGCCAGGGTGCGAACTACGGGGGAGCTAGGAGGAGCTCGGCTCCCCTTAATAAGACATGGGCTCCCCTGAAAACGTGATTTGTGAAATTTTGGGGGGTCTCAAAAAATATTGACAATGTGTTATTTTGACGTGCAATTTCAGTTTTGTGTAATGTGATCATCGTGGATTATTTAATGATAGTTCTCCACTCTGTTCTAAAAAGAAAGAATCATAGGGGGAAAATATGTTTTACACTTATGTTAGTGAACCATGCCCACCGCTTGGTAGTAAACACCCAAACAATAATGGTATATGTGATAGCTGAACACACACATTGAGTACTGATAAATAACTGCAGTTTGCTCCATCCTTTATCATGACTCCAAGTAATAAGAACATCAGACATTCTATATTAACTGACACATTTCCAGACAATAGCAGGCCCACAGCTGATTAGCTGATTAACATGCACACTTTTCCAGTATCCTTCATTACAGAAGTATTCTTTTCTGTGACCCTAACCAACCAGCACAGAGATGAATCACACCATTATAACATTTGATTGAAGCTTTCCAAGGTATTTGAAAATCAAAAAAATTTTTTTTTTACAAAAGTAAAAGACTCTATTCTTACATAATAGAATGTGTTACTCATCCCTGAAGCACTGCAAATGACACAGAAGGCAGAACCTAGTATAAAACTGTAAGGACTATTATAAAGTAGGCCTATAATTAGGAATATAACACAAGCAGAATAAACTATTGAGTAGTGGTGCATCATTCCTGAATGAATTGTGTTTTTTAAAATGAATGGTTATGTAAATGATTCAATGACTCACTCACTCACTCACATCACATCACTTACTTTGTTCCTGAATGAATTGTGGTCTTTGAACAAATCAGTTGAGTAGCTGAGTCATTGACAAGACAAGACAAGTCATTTGTCACCATCTACTGGCATAACAATGTTAAATGCTGAATAAATTACATCACAGTCTGTCTGGAACATGTACAGTAAAGTTTCCACTTTAATCTGACCTTTTTTATAACAAAAATGTGAAAATCTGTTGTATAAATAAAAACTTGGTACCCAAATGCCCATATTTGAAGACACACACATTAAACATGTTTATTAATAATAATAATAATTGAATGAACAAGTATTTAGTGACTTGATTTAACAGCTAAATTATTACTGAGCTAACCAATGGAACAACACAGAAATTGCACTATGATTTAACTGGAATCTGTGTATCTGCATCTGAGGTATGAGGTACATGAATTCAAAATAAAACACACCTGGGTCTGTGTGGGAGCATCTCTTTGCAGTTCTAAGGAAACATTACGTCATCAGGACAAAGGCACTTTCAAAGCCAAACTGCATCAAGATACATATGAAATTCCACTCAGGGCAAGTACGTAGGACATTTCCAAAGCATTGAACATACCTTTAAGAAAAGTAAACTATGTACAAAAATTGTGGAACATCTCTGAATCTGCTCAGAACTTTTTTTCACCTAGTTGTTCAACTAGGTGGACAGAGCCTTAGGAAAAAAGATCACGAAAATGCTCACAGGAACATAGAACACAGCCTCCATGAAAGATTGAAGAACATGCTTGAGAACAACAACATCAACAATTCATAACTCTGTAGTCTTGCGAGTCTTGTATGGACAAGAGCTCAAATCACATCTCAGGTGGACTTTTCCTATAGGAATGAGAGTGACTCAACAATTTCCATGGTCCAATGAGGTCAAATGTGGATGATTAAAGGAATAGTTCACCCAAAAGTGAAAATGTGATGAGAATTTACTCACCCTTAGGCCATCTTTATTTGATTTTGAGAAATTTACCATTACATGACCTATTCAGCAATAGCTCATCTGCAGTGAATGGGTGCCATCAGATTAGAGTGAGAGTCGAAACAGCTGATAAAACCATTACAGTAATCCAACCACATTATAATAAATTAATCATTAAGACGTTTTTAACTTCAGACTGCTGTTTCCAGCAAAAAGACAAGTCCTATATCCATAATACTGCTTTCTCCAGTGAAAAAGTAATCTTGTCTGAATCAGGAGAGAAATATGTGCAGATCAAGCATAGTTTACAAACAATAACAGTCCAAAACAGTTTTAAACATCTAAATATTTTGGTGTGTTTTGATGTAAAACGACGGCAGGAGATTGACTTTTTCACTGGTGGATGCATCATTTTGGATTATGGTTTGGATTATGGATTATGAACTCATATTTTGGCCAGAAGCAATAGTTTAAAATTAAAATGCCTTAATGATGGATTTGCTTCTTACAAACATGCAGCTTTTCACTTCACAAGGCGTTACTTGATAGACTGGAGTCATGCTGATTACTTGTGGATTATTGTGATGTTTTTATCAGCTGTTAGAACTCTCATTCTGACGGCACCCATTCACTGCAGAGAATCCATTGGTAAGCAAGTGATGTAATGTTAAACTTCTCCAAATCTGTTCCGATGAAGAATCAAACACATCAACATCTTTGATGGCCTGAGGCTGAGTAAATTTTCAGTAAATTTTATTTTTTGGGTTAACTCTTACTTTAACTATATAAATCTCACAAATAGCACCATTGCAGTGAAGCATGGTAGTGTTCCAATCATCATTCCAATGTTTCAGGAATCGTACTCAGGGACAGGAACCTGTGACAGACTACCTTCATTTATTTGATGGGTTTTTGAACAGCCTGTTAAGTTGTACATTATTTCAGTGAAGCATTTCTCGGCTTGGTTTCCCTTCATTTCCTTCCCAGGTAAAATCTTCATTCACCCCTGTCTAACTTTCAGATGTATGGACGCTATACACAGGAGTTGGGGGCCTATGCCAAAGAAGAGGCAGCTCGTCTGCGTGAAGATGGAGCACTGCGGAGGACCACCAGTGTGCGTGGCCAGGCTCCAGAACTGATGGAGTATGAGAAGGACTCGTGTGCCAAGTGTCAAGGTGGGTGTGCTGTATACATACGTGGGCCAACTGTTTGCTGGCTGGTCTGCTAGTATCATAGCATGCTATTTGCAGCAGTGGCTACAGTGCAAAGCTAGGAAAGCAGAGCAAATCCACAAGGATGAAGGGCAGCAGGGATCGAAAGAGAAAAAGGGTTGTAAAGGGCAGGAGGCAAAAGAGTTGGTAAGAAGAGTTGCTGGAATTGGGGATTAGGTGAGACCTATGGTGGAGCTAAGTGGGAGGGATTTACTCAGGCTGATACATCTACACTCTTGTTCAGGTCCACATGGAATCAGTGGCAGTAAAACTTGGCATTAAAGGGGTGGTTGATTGCGATTTCACTTTTTTAATGTTAGTTTGTGTGTAATGTTGCTGTTTGAGCATAAACAATATCTGCAAATTTGCGAAGTTGAAAGTTCAATGCAAACGGAGATGTCGTCTTTTAAAATTCTGGCAGTTTAAGGCCTACAAAAACGGCTCGTCACAAACCCTGATAAACCCCGCCCCCGGGAACAAGCAACGAAGAGGGCGAGGCCATGCTGTGCTGCTTTAGAGAAGAGGAAGAGAAAACTAGGGGTGCACATAAAAATCTATTCATATATGAATCGTGATTCTGTCTTCTAACGATTCTAATGGATTCACAAGTTTCAAAATCATGATGGATTTGCTTCTTACAAACATGCAGCTTTTCACTTCACAAGGCGTTACTTGATAGACTGGAGTCATGCTGATTACTTGTGGATTATTGTGATGTTTTTATCAGCTGTTAGAACTCTCATTCTGACGGCACCCATTCACTGCAGAGAATCCATTGGTAAGCAAGTGATGTAATGTTAAACTTCTCCAAATCTGTTCCGATGAAGAATCAAACACATCAACATCTTTGATGGCCTGAGGCTGAGTAAATTTTCAGTAAATTTTATTTTTTGGGGCCTACAAAAACGGCTCGTCACAAACCCTGATAAACCCCGCCCCCGGGAACAAGCAACGAAGAGGGCGAGGCCATGCTGTGCTGCTTTAGAGAAGAGGAAGAGAAAACTAGGGGTGCACATAAAAATCTATTCATATATGAATCGTGATTCTGTCTTCTAACGATTCTAATGGATTCACAAGTTTCAAAATCAATGTTCTAAAGCAGTGGTTCTCAATACTGTTCCTCGCGTTCCCCTGCTCTACATATGCTCTGCATCTCTCTCTCTCTCTCTCTCTCTCTCTCTCTCGCTCGCTCTCTCATTCAGATCATCAGGTCTCTCTCGCTCTCTCTCTCTCATTCAGATCATCAGCTCAGCTCTGTTTATACACCATTTATACACTTATTTTCACATAGCTATGAGAAGCGTTATGCATGCAGTTGCCATACTAGGGCTGCACGATAAATCGAAATCGCGATTCGACAGAAGCTGCGATTGTCATGCGTATCTTTCAGTGAAACGCGGTTCTGTGATCAGTAGTAAATCTCCATCCAAAGGCCAGAGGGCGCTCTCGCGCTGAAACTCCAAATACACCTCGCAGAAGAAACCCAGGAAATGCCTAACGCTGCAGCTGAATAAACAGAAGATTCAACTGCTTTTATTGATTCAACGTGACTAATAAACACACGACTACGACAATATATATCTGAGTTATTATTATTATAATTTTCATTAAAATAAAGTATATTTATAATGCAATGCCTTTATCTCTGCTTAAATACTATGAAATATGTTGCGTGCCTTATTCTGTGTAAGAAGCCACATCATCTCACAGAAGGCTTTATTTCAAACACTCGACTGACATTATGAAGTGAGTTTGGAGTAAAAATATGTTATTAAATGTGGTATTTTCACATGCTTTCAGGTGGACCAGCATTTACTACACAGAACCGTAGTTCACTGAGAAGCTATGCAAACAGCTGTCATTATCGCGAACGATGTCTTCGATTTCATAATCGCACAATAAAATCATCTTGTCGTAACTTGTCAGTGAACTACAGCTCGGTGTAGTAAATGCTGCTCCATCTGAAAGCATGTGATGATGATTTACTGCTGATTACAGAACCGGCTTTACTAACAAAAAGCGCATGACAATCGCATTCGATTAATCGTGCAGCCCTATGCCATACTGTATTAAAGCTTTAATCAGGATAAAAACAGATATGAAAAGCTAACAGAAGCAGTAACATTCACAAATAATAGTGTATCTAAAAGTATGAGATAACAACAAACAAACATACCATTAAGAGCCGTGCTTGCACAGGTTCTGCGCGATCCTCTTTACTAATATCCTCTGCATCTCAATCGGGCTCAAATTGATGAGCAATATAGACGACGCCATTGTTTACAATACAACCGGAGCACATGCCGCTGAGGTGAGGGGCAGGATGTTCAGACGCGCACTAGAGGCGGTTTAGCGAATCATAACACACTGGACTAGCTAACCAATCAGAGTCCATCGTGTATTTCTGAGGGAGTGGCGTCATAAAAGCAGGAAATGATCAGCGCGTTTATCAGAGAAGGGACAGAACGGTAAAGAATAAAGGTAAATTATGTGAAAAATAATGCGTTTTTTAAAACGCATTATTTGCGTTCCTGGCCACCACAATCTCTCAGGACCTGAAGTGGGACACTCACATAAGCTGTGTCTCATTTAGAAGGCTGCGTCCTCCGGAGGTCGCATTCGAAGGCTGCATACGTCATCGAGGCTGTCTCATTTCAGAAAAGCAAGTAGGACACTCCGAATGCGAGTGCAAGTGTTCACACTCTCCGTTTTCTCATGAGTCTGGAAACATGGGATTCCAGGGGAAAACAGCTTTTTTATGAGCAATTGTTAACTTCATTAAAGCATACTGTGCACCTACTGCTAGGTTCGGGTAATTGCTCTTGGGTTCTAGGTCATTTCCTATTCATACAGCCTATCTCTATGTTGTGAACACAGACTGACCTAAAGAACAGGGAAACAGAGGATGTTGTAGGTGCCTAATAGTTTAGATCACTCAAAAACGAAAATTATGACTGAATTTACTCACACCCCTTGATCATTAAATTGAAGAATAGAAAATGTAAGAATTTTGCTCTTGCTATGCAATTACTATAGATGCATTATAAAAGTATTCCACATGACTCATGTGCTCTCTCTCTCTCTTTCTCTCTCTTTCTCTCTCTTTCTCTCTCTATCTATACACACACACACACACACACACACACACACACACACAGACTATTAAGTACACAACAGTTATAAATATATTAAGCAGCACAACTGTTTTCAACATTGATGATAAGGAATGTTTCTTGAGCACCAAATCAGCACATCAGAATGATTTCTGAAAGATCATGTGACACTGAAGACTGGAGTAATGCTACAGGAATGATTTACATATTAAAATATATTCAAATAGAAACAGTTTTTTAACTGTAAAAGTATTTCACAATATTACATTTTTACTGTATTTTTGATCAAATAAATGCACTCTTGGCCTGCAGAAGAGACTTGCAGACCCCAATCTTTTGATTGTAGTAGTATAAATAGATTTTTCTACTGGTTTTGCATATTTTTAAGCTTCAGTGCCTTGGTGATCATTACTTAGAACTGCTTGGACAGGAGCAAACAGCATATTATTATAATTCACCATTTGTGTTTATAAAAAATAAAACGAAAGTAATACAGTTTTGGAATGACATTAGGGTGAGTATATGTCATGATGACTGAATTTTCTTTTTCTTGGTAATCTCTATAATTTCTGTCTGCAGTCTGCACTTCACGGTGTCGGAAGTTCCTGATTTCCCGTGTGGGTGAAGACTGGATCTTTCTCATCCTCCTGGGGCTCCTCATGGCATTGGTCAGCTGGGCTATGGACTACACTATTGCCTTCTGCCAGCAAGGTAAGAGAGAGAAAAGAAAGAAAAGGACAATTTTCTGCCTGACAGGGTTCCATGAAAGTACAGATGGTGTCATTGAATCAGTCAAGTATTGTTTTTTTTTCAGATGGATATCATCATCATGTGTATTCTGGGACTGAAGGTGCATTAATGCTTGAACGAATTGGTGCCAACTCACTGACCTCTTTTTACAAAAGAATGAGTTTATTTACAAGGACTGGGGGTGTGGCAGTTCAGTCAATTGACAAAAAAGCACAGAATTGTCTTAGCACATATCAAGGGCAATGTTACGGCATTAGCTGCATCAAGTGCTTTCCACATATAAAAACACCTCAGAAATGTACAAAAAAAACAAGCAGTACTTGCCAAGTAGTACTTGTGAAGTCCTAGATATGTTATGACAGATATATTAAAATGATGTGCATTCACATGAAATGTAGAACCCGTATTAATGGCCCCAAAAAACTATTTTATATTACACAGTGCCTGTTTCTTCTCTGAGTCCACACCTTGGTCTTGTAATGTCGCATGGACTGTCAGTGGTAGTCTGCTGTGGAGTCTACACCAGGAAGGGAGCATTAAGGGTGCACAACAAGCTTTAGACTCATAAATTGACAAATGGCAAACAACTGCCATTGCAAATGTGCAAGAGCGCTCAATGTACAGGACAGGGCCAATTGCTCATCGGTAAAGTCAGCGTGTCACAGCAGCTGCCGTTAGAAGTCCCGGTTGCTATAAAAACAGTCAGCGTACTGAGACACGCGAAAGAAACAACAGTTGTTTTTTCATCAGTTATGAGACAGTTGTTGTCAGATTTCATTGTTGATTTCAAATATAAAATTTAATCTAAAGCTTGGTGAACAGTTTTGGAGAATTTGAGAATTTGCCCATTCAGAGAGATAGGAGCTGCATATGCATGCCCAAGAGGAGTTTCAAAGATGGCCGCCGAGTGAAATGACTTGCCTTAAAGGGACTTTGAAAACACCAGGAGAACCACTGAGATCATATTCAGCTAATTCAAATGATCCCAGTGATCATCCTATTAGTGTGCACTTTTGATTCAGTTAGGGGCATTTCTTCAATTTTATCCACGCCAGTAGGTGTCAGTATAAAGTTGTCAAATCAGTCAGGAAAATGAATTGAAACAATTAACAACTAAATAACAGTGTACAAGTAAATGTAGCAGTATAGTCTATAGTGTGATTCAGTTAATGGGCATTTCTTCAATTAAAAAAACCTCAGCTTTTTTATCCAAACCAATAGGTGTCAGTATAACTTCAAGACAACTGTCGAATTGGGTAGGAAAATGAATGGAAAAACTAATAAAAGAGCACAACAAATGTGCACATGTTCCAACATTTTGCTCTTTTGTGCACACAGATTTAGTTTTAGTTTGAATCTGCCTGATATTTTCAGACTGTTCTTGAAAAGGGAAAAAAATTAAAACAACAATAGTTGGGGTACCATCTGCTAATAATATGTGACTGTACTTTAACTATTGATCAATGAAACATCATGTAATATTTGTTAAATGCATCTTAATGAAATGGCCTGTTAATAATGACCCATTAATGAGAGATATTATAAAGCGTTACCAATGACTTGTGTTTGTATCACAACTTTACATGTCACTGCAACTGAAACGTCATGGCCTTGTTCTTCCAGTCTCATCTGCGTGTATCGTACAAACAAGCAGCTGAGGGTTCTCTAGGGTTTTTTGTTAGTCTGTGATTAGTCAGAGTACATAAGGTGTCGGTTCTCGAGGGAATTGCAAGCACAGTGAATGGAGCCGTTTGTCGGCCTTTATGTGATTCAATATCAACCTTCTGGACTCTGCCCACAGAGTAACGGGAGAAATCACAGCACGCTGGGGAATGGATCAATAACATGTTGTTAGAGCAGAGTGAATCTGACAGAAAATCGGAGACCATAAACATTGCGGCACATTTGAACTGTGGCACTGTAATTGAATGCGCTTTAATTAGGCAAATGTCAATGGCATGTTTGCACAGTTAATCAGGCAGTGGGGTCTGGGGTAACGGGCCGTGCTGATAATTATTTGTCTGACACCTCATACCTGTGGGTCTTACTTTTGATAGTGGGATATGAATGAGCTCCAATTAGGGCCAGGGTAAGATAGAATATTTTTAATTAAATGATTTCTTTTTTGTAGATACAGACTTGAAACGTAAACAACAGTGTCAGTACTTACAGTATTGATAGGTTTTGAAAGAACAGAGTGCAGATATTCACATGTATGTGTGTTATTTTGATTTACTGCTGAAGGAAGAGCCCTTTGAGGGAAACAAGGTAAGATGCAGGTATTATTATGTTTGGGTGTGTCCATGTGATCAGATGTATTGAAAGTGTTATAATGAAAAGAAAAAAAAATCTAATTTTATTTTTTTAAATCTCCATTTGTGATTCTTTATTTTTTCCTCAAGTTTACCATTTTTCCATTGTAATTTAGAGTCGTACTGGACTTCATCCTCCCTGGCCATAGCAAACTGTTCACAGAGATAGCACATAGTGAATGAAAGAGCAGTGTTTGTCCATTTTTTAATTGTGTTCATAGCAATACCTTGCTCCGCATGTCATTGCCATGTATCCGTCAGTGTAATTACCCTGTTCCACTTTTGGCTGCCTGTAAAATGCCACCGCGACATGTCATTTGAAACAGGATTTGCATGTATTGGGTTTTCTTGTTAATATGACAGAATGAGTTGCGAAACACAGAGATGCTGTCAGCCGCCTGTGCAGTGGGGGTGGGCTGTTGCTTTGCGGCCCCTATTGGAGGTAAGTCCAGACATTACGATCATAGCTGGCCACTGGAGATAACGCCATATCACATTTATAACAGTAACATTCCCCTGTATACGTCCAGCTTTGAGCTGAGTTGTTTGTCGTATGATCTGCTGTGTTGTGGCAGGAGTGCTGTTTAGTATTGAGGTCACATCTACGTTCTTTGCTGTGAGGAACTACTGGAGAGGATTCTTCGCTGCAACCTTCAGTGCCTTTATCTTCAGGGTGCTTGCAGTGTGGAATCAGGATGAGGGTGAGGAAAAAATCCGTTGTGATAGCCAACACAGTCAGATGATTCAGATTTCTGACTGTCATTCTCTCTTCGTCATATTGCAGAGACAATCACGGCTCTCTTCAAAACGCGCTTTCGTCTGGACTTTCCCTTTGACCTACAAGAGCTTCCAGCTTTTGCTGTGCTCGGGTTTGTGTCTCACCTTTGCCATCTATCTCCTAAACAGAAATGTGATTTGCATAATTTAAATTACGGTAGTCAAAACACTGATTTCATGCAAACCAACATCCTTGTCTAAGAACATATGTGTTAAAAATGCCTAAGCTCAGTAGAACAGTTTATTTGCAAAGCTTGTACTTCTGCTTTCAAACATGTAGAGTTGTGTTCTGGTTGACAGGCCAGGTTCACACGTCTAGTCTTTAAATCCAACTAGTTAGTTCGTAGTTGTAAAATAGAAATGTGCAATGATCGTAGTTATGCCTCTTGTTTTATGAGATGAATGCTTCTTCTTATCTGTTGTTGTTTTTTGTTTGTTTGTTTGTTTTTTTCTCAGGATTGCCAGTGGTTTTGGAGGGGCGTTGTATGTCTATCTGAACAGGATAATAGTGGAGTCTATGAGAAAACAGAAAACCATCAACAAGTTTTTGCTAAAAAAGTGAGTTTTTTACTGCTTCTCAACAGTATTTCTCGTTGTCCAATGTATTTTATTTAGGTACTAGCTCAGCATAAATTTTCATTTAATTGTTAAGAATGTTACAAAAAATATTACTTAATAATAATTAAACTTTTATTTGTATTTTTATATAAATATTATATTATATAGTAAAATATTATTTTTTTTTATGTAAAAGGTCATTTTTCTTTCTCATGTTTGGCATCCCATAGAAGACTAGTGTATCCGGCAGTGGTCACTCTTCTTGTCTCTACACTCACCTTTCCTCCAGGGTTTGGACAGTTCATGGCAGGCCAGGTCTGATGTTTCATATTTATTTTGTGTCTCATCGAAATTTCTTCAGATTTCCTTCTCTGTATCTTTCTTCTTTCTACACAACCAGACTTTTTCAGTCTTTCAAGTGTGCTTCATGCTGATAGATTTATTTGTTCCAGATCAGTCATTATGCATTAAATAACAAACTGCGCTGCCTCCTCATTTAGCTGACTCAACATGAGTCACTAGTGGCACTGTTTGACAACCAGACCTGGTACAAGCAAGGTGTTGCTGAGGAGTTTGCATACTCAAGTCAAGTACCTCAGGCCTGGAAGCATCCACAAGTCAGTGTGTTCATCACACTCCTCCTCTTCATTGTCATGAAGGTGCGTCTCATCATATTATGTCAAATATAAAGACCATGATTGTTAAAGGAACAGTTCACCCAAAAATAAAAATGTGCTGAAAATGTACTCACCCTCAGGCCATCCGAGATGTAGGTGAGTTTTGTTTCTTCATCTGAACATATTTGGAGAAATGTAGCATTACATCATTCGCTCACCAATGAATACTCTACAGCAGGGGTGGCCAATGTCGTTCCTGGAGATAAAAACTCACCTGCCTGTAGCTTTCTAGTAAGCCTTAGACCTTGATTAGCTGGTTCAGGTGTGTTTGATTAGGGTTGGAGCTGAACTGTCCAGGACTGTGGCTCTCCAGGACCAACGTTGGCCACCCCAGCTCTACAGTGATGAAGACAGAAGACATATGATAAAAACATTACAATAACCCACAAGTAATCCAGTCCAACAATTAATGTCTTGTGAAGTGAAAAGTTGCTTGTTTGTAATAAATAAATACGTCATTAAGATGTTTTTAACTTTAAACCGTTGTTTCCGTCTAAAATACCAAAAAGTCCACATTTCATAATATTTCTTCCTCCAGCAAAAATGCCATCCTCTGTTGTCAAATCAAAATCCACCAACCTATTTCTTTAGAATGGTGCTTGATCTGTGCATATTTATCTCCTGTTTTTAGACAAGACAACTTTTTCACTGAAGAAATATTATGTATCCATAATATTATAATATCATAGATAGAGAACCATAGCCGGAAGCAATGGTTTGAAGTTAAAAACATGTTGCTGGATTTGTTTATTATAAACACACAGGCTTTTAACTTCAAAAAGATGTTAATTGATGGACTGGAATGGTGTGGTGAAGTTTTTATCAGCTGTTTGGACTCTCATTTTGACGGCACCCATTCACTGCAAAGGATCCACTGATGGTGATGTAATGCTTGAATTATCCAAATCTGTTCTGATGAAGAAACCAACTCATCTACATCTTGGATGGCCTGAGGGTGTGTATATTTTCAGTGGGTGAACTATTCCTTTAACAGCAATGTAAAACTCTGGGCAATATGTGAATGTAACATATTGTATTATACATCTTCTCTTGTATTATACGTCATATTGTCTCTGAATATCAGTCACTCAGTATTAACTTCTGGTTTGAGCTATTGTATGTGTTGAATTGTGCTTATATAGTAAAAACCAGAGCAGATTTGATTCGGCTGCAGGAAATCACAGCCATCCTGATTTTCACTACAGCATCGCGATTGCGAGTGTGATATTGCTTAATTATTAAACGGTGTCTTTGTTCAAGTGTGTGACCTTGTGGCTTCTAAATGTTTTCCTCAGTTCTGGATGTCAGCTGTGGCCACAACAATGCCTGTGCCTTGTGGGGCCTTCATGCCGGTTTTCCTCATTGGTATGTGATTATCGTGTGCGTGTGTTGTTTTTGAAAGTCAACACTGTGGGATATATATTTTTTTGGTTTCCATTTCAATTCACTATTGTATGACCGAGCACTTTTGAACATTATTTTGCTCTTGTGTTCATACCAGCCATCATACTTTAGTTTGTTCTTAATGGTTGTTTTCCTTTTCCCGCAATCATGTTCTCCATTTCCATCCCTCATCACTGTCTGACTCACTAAAGCCTGTGTGTAAACGCGTGAAATCACTGCAGCTTTATTCAGGAGTCAATGTTTGTGACCTCATGTAAGTATACGTCAAGCACGTGTTACTAATTTGGTGTTTTTGTCAACCCCAAAATGTCATTGAATCTACGTTGTGAATTCTGTGTGTCGTACAGGGGCTGCGTTCGGTCGACTGGTCGGCGAGAGTATGGCCGCCGTCTTCCCCGAAGGAATACACGCTGACAACACTGTATATCCCATAGTTCCCGGCGCATACGCAGTTGTAGGTGAGACCGTCGATTGTGCATGCCTTCTCGCGGATGTCCATTTGTTTTCTTTCAAAAGCCATCAGTTTCAGCCCGTCGTGGCTATATCTTATTCACACAGGTAATTGAACCTGCAGGGTGTTGTATGCAAGAGTCATACATTTTTCATTAACCCACACAGACCAACAGCCAAATTAGATCTTGCCTGTGGAAATGGCTTCAGCGGTAGCGCTGCATTGTGCAGCGGCGCAAAAAGCTTGTCAGGAGCACAATAGTAAATCAGATGGCTTGCGGTGGGTGACTGCTACTGTAATTTGATACGAGATGAAATGGTGATTCCCACAGGGGCGGCGGCTCTTTCTGGCGCAGTCACTCACACCGTGTCCACCGCCGTCATTGTGTTCGAGCTGACCGGTCAAATCTCGCACATCCTGCCCGTGATGATCGCTGTGATATTGGCCAATGCCGTGGCTCAGAATCTGCAGCCTTCCCTCTATGATTCCATCATCCGGATCCAGAAACTTCCCTACCTGCCAGAGCTGGGCTGGGGACAGGAGTGAGGGCTGTTATGTAACTTTCCCAAATTATCACTCTCATATCATTCCCCTGGCTTTTTCATTGCTCACTTCCATCTCTTTTTTTTTTTCTTTTTTACCTGTAGGAAATATAATATCCGTGTGGAGGACATAATGGTGAGAGACGTGCGATATATCACTCTCTCCTCCTCTTACCGGGACCTGCAGGAAGCTCTCATAACAGGCCAGCTTAAAACCCTGGCCTTGGTGGAGTCCAAAGGTGAGTCCCATAAAATATCTGTAATAAAGGTATATTTTGCACAAAAAAAAATCAGTTGTTCTGCATATGTCCTTCATACCACTATCACTATCTTACATTAGGAATTATAAGACCAATTTTAGACAGTTTTCTTCCCAAACTGTCTTTTTTTCACATTTTGCTCAATATAGAAGAGTGATTCGGCTGAAATAACTCTGTAATATCAGCTTTTGATTGCTAAACCATTTTCGGCAAGAAATGCGCAGTGTTCAAAATGAGTTTCTCAATGACTGATGCCAATATCTAGAGAGCAAAGTAGTGTGTGTGTGTGTGTGTGTGTGTGTGTGTGTGTGTGGTTGTCTACTATATACTGTATACACACATTCATACAATTTCTAAAAAATAAAAAAGAAGCAAACTTGCTGACCTAAAACTATACTGTATATTAAAATTATTTTCATTACTTTCCAGAAAGGCTACATTAAACTGAACAAATGTGACAGTAAAGACATTTATAATGTTACAAAATATGGTCACACTTTATATTAGGTGGCCTTAACTACTATGTACTTACATAAAAAAATAAGTACAATGGCACATTTATTAGACCTCTACTGGGAAGTAAATGAGCTTCTGAAGTGAAGTGACATGTGGCCAAGTATGGTGACCCATACTCGGAATTGGTGCTCTGCATTTATCCCATCCAAAGTGCACACACACAGCAGTGAACACACTCACACACCGTGAACACACAGCAGCACAGCAGTGGGTAGCCATTTTTTGCTGCGGCGCCCGGGGAGCAGTTGGGGGTTCAGTGCCTTGCTCAAGGGCACCTCAGTCGTGGTATTGAAGGTGGGAGAGAGTGCTGTACATTCACTCCCCCCACCTACAATCCCTACTGGTATGAGACTCGAACCCGCAACCCTTGGGTTACAAGTCCGACTCTCTAACCATTAGGCATTAGGCCACGACTTCCCCTAATGAATATGAAGAAACAGTTTAGTTTAGGTGTTTGTATGATGCTTGAAATAAAGAGTGTGCTAAAAAGAAAAATACAAGTGTGTAAAAATGAGGCTGTAAATACTTTTTGATGTTTTGCTGATTTTAGTACAGTTTCTTTTCCAGACGTTTTCTTGATGTTCCCAAATGAAAGCTCACAGTTGGAAATGTAATCCCACAATTCCACCTCATATCCTGTGACAGACACATTCCTTACCTTCTCCATCTCCTTTCCCGCCCTCCCACAATTTCCCTTTGCTATCCCCCATTCCTCCAGCTATCCCGCTGTGTCTCTCTCACTTCTCTCTTTCTCTCTCTTTCTTTCTCTTTCTGGTCTCTCTGCTGTCTCCCTTGCCTGTGTCCCCACCTGGCTCCAGAGTCCATGATCCTGCTGGGCTCTACAGAGCGCTCCCAGCTTCAGTCCCTGCTCTCGCAGCAGCTCAGCCGAGCTCGCAGGCTGGAGTACTTGAGAGAACGTGCTCAGGACAATGGCACCCATGTGCCCACCTTCCCCCAAGACTCTCCCTCCAGGACTGGTCATGGCGTACGTTTCCTGGTATGAGAGAAGACGCTAGTGTTAATTACAATTCAGGGATGAAAGGCATTTTTTCCCCATATAATTTTATATGGACATGAACTACCATTCAAAAGTTTGGGGTCAATACTTTTTTTGGTCACACTTTATTTTGAGGTCCAGTTCTCACTCTTAACTAACTATCAACTATGACTTCTGCCTCAATAAACTCCTAATTACTAGTTAGTAAGGTAGTTGTTAAGTTATTGGGTAAGATTAAAGGATGCAGAATATAGTCATGCAGAATATGTCCTTTATAAGTAAATATATGTCTATTATTAACATATATTAGTATACTAATAAACAGCCAATATGTTAATAATAGACATGCTAATAAGTAACTAGTTAATAGTGAGAATTGTGCCCTATACTAAAATGTTACCCCAAAGTGTTAAACGTTTATTTAATTATTTAATATTTTTATTCAGCAAGGATGCACTGACCCCAGACTTTTGAACAGTAGTGTAGACTTTTGAAAATCTACGGTAGGTTAAAGGAATAGTTCCACCAAAAATTAAAATTGTTCTCGCATGTTGTTCTAAGCCTGAATGCTATTTGTCTGTGAAACTGAAATCTCACATGTACTTTCAGATTGCACAAGGTTTTAGATGCCGAAAAGCCATCAGGGATGCATTAATATTAGCATTATGGCCACTAATGATAAGCCGATAATTATTTTCATGTTATGGACGGTAGCTGATAAATTCTTATCTGTAGTTGCTACATTGTGCCATATTTGTCTAAATCAAGTTAAAATGAAACACTAAAAGCTCAATTCAATCATATTTTTTAACATTAAATGCTACAAGTGAATTTAGGCATCACAGCATTCTAAAAATAATACAGTATAATAGTACATGAAAAATGGATATTCATTTAGATATTTGCTAAAAATTACTCGAAAAAGTGTTATTAAATTATTTGTATTTTTAAAGATTAAGTGAGTGTTAATTGTCGGCATAGGTCATTTAAATGTTAAAATAAGCAAAGTGAGTATGAACAATTAAATATCCAACAATGCAGTAAATCCAAAAATATCAAACCAGTGTGGCACTGATATATCCTGCACCTCTGAAAGCAACTGAACATGCAAGATGAAGCATGAGATTTGAGAGCTGCCGCGAAGAGGCACATTTTCCATAATTAAGGACCTAAATTTCAGTCTGTGTAGTATGGCTTCAGAAGACTTGAAATATAGCAAATGAGGCACATGGACTCCTTTTATGGTTCTTTTATAGTGTTCATTGGTCATTATGAGCTTTCGTAGTACAAGACGAACTGCATAAACATTTCTTCTTCCGTGTTCGGCTGAAAACGGCAAATGGGCTTGGAACAACACAGAGAAAGTAATAAATAATTTTGGTCACACTTTATTTTAAGGTCCAGTTCTCACTATTAACTAACTATTAACTACGACTTTTGCCTCAATAAACTTCTAATTATTACTGCTTATTGATAGTTAGTATGGTAGTTGTTCATTTTAGGGATTGGGTGAGATTAAGGATGTAGAATATGGTCATGCCGAATAAGACATAAATATGTGCTTTATAAGTACTAATAAACAGCCAATGTGCTATTAATATGCATGCTAATAAGCAACTAGTAAATAGTGAGAATTGGTCCCTATACTATATTTCTTTAATTATGTTCAATGTTAGTCTGACATTATTTTTGGAGTCTGTGTTTCCCATTTGTCTGTATTCCTCAAGAAGTATAAAGGATTGTCAGATCGCCGTGTCGCAGTTTGCAGGTGTTTTTCTTTCATGTTTTCTGTTTCATCCCAAAGAATTCCGTCCCGGCACGCTGTCATCTCTTAGTTCAGTAATACAGATGGGAGTACATGAAGCCTGTGTTAGTAATCAAACTTACTTATAAGTGGATCTAACAGACTGTTTTTCTCCAGATCTCCACTGAAGAGTCCTCCTACAGCCCCACACTGACTAACTCCCAGATCCCCCTCAAGTCTGCTCTGAAGACAGTGTCTGCAATCAGCAACACAGAGTCATTAAACAGTGTGTATATAACACTTACTCACACATGTGAACTCCTACTCATGTATGTTGTGTTGCGAACTGTCTGCGACCCCCTGGTATGCACCCATCTTGTGCTAATCTAATCAATCCTCTTCTGCAGGCTCTCCTAACCTATCCTCTGGGGAACCTGTGAAGGAGCTAGTAGAGGTACGATGGCTCTCTAGGGATTGTGGGTGATACGTGGCACTTATGTAGCTGTAGATTTTACAGGTGCCCAGAGACTGAATATGGGACGAGAGACACAAGAGGAACCATCTGCCAGACCAGTCTCACAATTAGCCTAAACATCTTGTTTGTAACTTTTTAATGTTTCAGTGCTTGTCTTAGGCTTTGTTCAGACAGGCAGTATCTTTTGGTGTATTCAGCTCACTTCTGTTTAGTTGTCTCCTGTTTAAACATTGTTGACAAATGAAACCACAAAACCAGTCTTAAGTCTCTGGGGTATATTTGTAGCAATAGCCAAAAATACATTGTATGGGTCAAAATTATTGATTTTTATTTTATGCCAAAAATCATTAGGACATTAAGTAAAGATCATGTTCCATGAAAATATTTTGTAGGTTTCCTACTGTAAATATATTATTATATACATTTTTGTTTAGTAATATGCATTGCTAAGAACTTCATTTGGACAATTTTAAAGGCGATTTTCTCAATATTTTGATTTTTTTGCACCCTCAGATTCCAGATTTTCAAATAGTTGTATCTCGGCCAAATATTGTCTTATCATAACAAACCATACATCAATGGAAAGCTTATTTATTCAACTTTCAGATGATGTATACATCTCAAAAATGGACCCTTATGACTGGTTTTGTGGTCTAGGGTGATTCAAAGAAAAAGAAAAAAAGAAAAAATGTTTGTTTCCAGCCTGATCGGTCAAATCATATTTCATGTATTTTTATTCAGCTTTTATGCTGCAGAATATCTGAATTCACTCACATGTGTAGTTTACTATTGAATGCTGAACAGATCTGATCTGAACAGACTTAAATACAGATCAGGGGGTGGATTTACAACAATCTTCTTAAGAAAGAACTTAAGAAATAAAAAAGCTAAATTCTGAGAAGTTTGTAAGAATATTCCTGAATGCATTTTTTTTTTCAATTCTAAAGAGGTTCTCAAATATCTTATTTTTTCATGTGTTATATGATTAAATGGCAGTTCTTGCCGAAGACTTAGCACTCAGAGTCATGTTTTTCATAATGTGTCATACATTTTAAAAAGATTTTTAAAATTCTACTTAACTTTAAAAGGTTAATTGTTTCTAAATATTCTTTTCCGGAATTCAGATTCTTCTTACGTTTTGTCTTTAAAATAATCTAAAACAGATTCTTAGGAAATGTTTTTGGGAATAGAAAATATTCTTAGAGAAAACAGCAGTTTTTAGTACTTATAGAATGTTTTATGAACCCAGCCCCAGACTTGAAAAACAAATAGGATTTAAGTGCCGTGTGAACAAAGCCTTAGTCTGTGTCTTTGGAGTTTCACCTCATGTACAAGTATTATTATTAGTATTATAAAGCGAAATCTGTTGACCAGCGCAAAGTGAGCGTTCTGTCATTAACATAGGATTTCGGCTGCTGTATTTATTTGTTACACACCGCTTTCTGCCTTTCTCTTCGGAGGACCGATGACTCTAACAGTGTCCCTTGATAATAGTCAATGCTGAAGGTGCAGCTGTTGAGGGAGCATTGCGTTAGAGTTACATTAACGCTTTATGCTCCTCCCTTTTCTATCTGTTCTGTCTGAAAGAGCAATGCTGGCCCCAAGGCTCCTAAGAGGAGCAGGAGGCCCAAGCGTGTGAAGATACCCATGGCGGTAAGAACACAGCCGCAGGGACTTGTTCCGCTCGCCCACAAACACGCATTGGGGGTGGCAGTGGCACAGCCAATAGGACCTTTACTCAAGAGGCCTTATTGCGTTCTGCCTGTGTGCTGTATTGATACTTCCCCTCTAGGGAACAGGGAACACGCTGACTCATGAGATGAATCATGCCATGTTATGAAGTGTATATTTATCTCTCATGGGATGAGTGCGTTTGTGTGACGCATGGTGGGGTTGTGCAGTTGTCAAGATTCCGAACAGGCCCCAAATGTTTGTAAACCTACAGGCAGACGTCAGGGGATGTTGCAGTTGGACCCGTTTGTTTTGAACAAAGCTTTGCAAAGTTGATTCAAGTCCAATTTTGAACTGGAGCCTTAAACTCTCCAATCAAATTAAAAACCTTTTGAAAAACTATTCCCTGTCTTAGTTCTTTATTGCCTTGGTAATGGCATCCAATCTACCTCACCCTCCCCTGGGCTGCGTTTAATGTATTGCTTAAGCTTGCTAATGCTTAGTAAAGCTTGAGCCGCTTCGGTAGATTGCATTAGTATGTGTAGCTTGTCTTGTGAACTTGAGTGAATTGCATGACCGTTTGTGAGGACAAGAACGTATGAAAGGGACATTTGCGCATTTCTGTGTCTAATTGTGTGGCTTGATGTTTTTTAGGATACACCTGATGTTGAAGATGACATGTCAACAGCAGAGGTATATTAAATACTATACTTACCCTTAATTATGTACAGTATATAACACGATATATAATTGTATCGTGATTCTTGTAGTGAGTCACACATTCTGAGGTATTTTCCATATCATTGTAAATAAAGTGTGTTCTAGAATATAAAGAGGAGTTTGAAAGTCTGATTCTGGGATTCAGAATTCGGAAAATAACAATTTAAGAATTCTGAAACCTTCAAAAGATCCTGTTCCATTTCTAGGTGTCTAATCAGATAAGTAAATATGTGACATTGATCATATGACTCTTTGTACATAAGGTCCGAAGTTCTTGCTTCCACTGAAGCTCAAGATGTTCTTTGCTAGACCACCAAAATGTTTTGTTGCTTATCTTTTTCACTTGTCACTTAACCTAAGTTTAGGCACCTGTTTAGGACACTCGGTAACAGAGCTAGTTCTGTAGCTTCTTAAAGGGGTGGTTCATTCAAAAATCTAAATCCTATCATGATTTACTCCTTTCATTCCTTTACATTCCAAAACCTGTCTGGCTGACTTTTTTCTGATGAACCCAAAAGGAGAAGTCATGAAGAATGCTCACAGCCTCACACTGTTCTCCTCCATATAAATGATAGCTTTTATGAGGAACAGACTGAAATTTAAGACATTATTCACTAAAAATTTGACCTTGAAAATCACACTTGACAGGCGTAGTCAATACTCACTGTCACTGTATGAAAAAGAGCATAGTATTCTGCAATAAATATCTTCTTTTGGGTTAGACTAAAGGAAGAAAGTCATACAGGTTTGAAATGACATTGGGGTGAGCAAATGATGACTTAGCATTTTTGCTTGAATTATCTCTTTAATATTTAATGGAATCCTTATGGACAGGATTATCTTATGATCTTGCATAAATAGTATAAAACCTAATAATTGTCCCTGTCAGTTTACATTAAATGTCTTTTTGGAACTTTTAATAGTTTTACCTTTTTTTAAAATTTGTATTTTTCAGATAGCAGAGTGGGAGGAGCAACAGTTGGATGAGGCTGTTAATTTCAACAACTGTAAAATAGACCCTGCACCCTTTCAACTGGTGGAACGGACATCTTTGCATAAGGTAAAAGATTTGCTGTATCTGCCAAGCACAGAGCGCTGCAGTGATGACGTATTTTTGTATGTTTACTTCACCCTCGTTCCCTTGACAAAAACCCAATAGGATTTTTCCATTGGCTTTTGGGTTATTGCAGAAAATAAGCTCTGTGACCAACAAACCTTTACGATTCTTACACATTTTGTTCAAGTTAATCTTCACAAATGAACACAAGTTTTATGAATTTTGAAGCCTAAATGTAATCCCCAGAAATGAAAAGCTAAATGTAGGCTGTAAACAAACTATGCCACAGTCACATGACTTCAATGTCACTACCATTAAGCTTCTGACAACTCTTTCAGAATTTTTTTTTTTTTTTAATCCCTTAAAGTTTAAGTTAGAATGGGTTGCAAGAATGTGATTAACACAATGAGGCTGTAAAAACAGACTAGTGAGTAGACAATCTCTGTAGTCCCATTAAGTATTACTGATGTATTCAAGTTAATCTTCACAAATGAACACACGTTTTTTTAATTTTGAAGCCTAAATGCAATCCCCAGAAATGAAAAGCTAAATGTAGGCTGTAAACAAACTACGCCACAGTCACATGACTTCAATGTCACTACCATTAAGCTTCTGACAACTCTTTCAGTATTTTTTTTTTTTTTTTTTTAATCCCTTAAAGTTTAAGTTAGAATGGGTTGCAAGAATGTGATTATTTAACACAATGAGGCTGTAAAAACAGACTAGTGAGTAGACAATCTCTGTAGTCCCATTAAGTATTACTGATGTATAACATTGACTTGTCTTGGGGAAAATGAAGTAAAGGAAACGGAAGTGCAAAAATGCTTGTTTCTGGGTTTAGGCCTACAAAAATATGTCATCCCTACAGCAATATATTTTTCGGCCATATAAAATGACAAAAAAAAAAATCATAAAAGTAGTGCAAATCATTTGTACGATATTTTCTGAAGCCACATGGCAGGTTTTTGTTATTTAACACAATGAGGCTGTAAAAACAGACTAGTGAGTAGACAATCTCTGTAGTCCCATTAAGTATTACTGATGTATAACATTGACTTGTCTTGGGGAAAATGAAGTAAAGGAAACGGAAGTGCAAAAATGCTTGTTTCTGGGTTTAGGCCTACAAATATATGTCATCCCTACAGCAATATATTTTTCGGCCATATAAAATGACAAAAAAAAAAATCATAAAAGTAGTGCAAATCATTTGTACGATATTTTCTGAAGCCACATGGCAGGTTTTTGTTAGGAACAGACTGTATTGTAAGCTATATAAAGTCATATGGAAAAGGTAACACAGGTTAGGGACCAATTCTCACTATTAACTAGTTGCTGATTAGCATGCATATTACCAGCATATTGGCTGTTTAATAGTACTTGTAAAGCCCATATTAATGCCTTATTCTGCATGACCATATTTTAGATTCCTTACCCTACCCCATACCTAAACTTAACAACTACCTTACTAACTATTACTAAGAAGCAAATTATAAGTTTATTAAGGCAAATGTTGTAGTTTATCGTGAGCAATGGTCCCCAAACTAAAATGTGACAGGCCAGTTTTATTATCACCTTTATTGAAACATGAATGTCAGTCCTTATCACTGTTCCTTTTGTTCAGACACACACCATTTTCTCACTACTTGGTCTGGATCATGCCTATGTCACCAGCACCGGACGTCTAGTAGGAGTGGTCTCTCTAAAGGAGGTGTGTGATTGTATTCTTTTACTAGCTCTTCTTTATAGCAGAAAAACACATTTAAAAAAAAAATGTCTGTTTATAGTTGCGTAAGGCTATCGAGGGCTCTGTAACTGTGACCGGAGTGAAAGTCCGTCCCCCGCTGGCCAGCTTCCGTGACAGCGGCAACAACAGCAGCGTCTCAGAGGTCACTGAGCTCCACAAGCTCTGGAGTCGTAACAGGAGCCTGTTGTTGCCACGGGAACCTAACCTCCCCGACCTGGATGACCAAACGGAGCAGCCGTCCGAGGGCAGCTTGGTGAACGAGACCGAGTGCACAGAGCTGTCCAGTCAGAACAGCCCATTACACACAGACGACCAGTCAGAGCTGCCCTACGCCGAGGCCACGCCCCAAGAGGAGCACCTAACGCAGCTCCCCTGTGACTGTACCCACCCTCTGGAGGACGGAGGCTCAGAGGCCGTCGGCGAGCATTGCCCAGCTCCGATCAAGGAAGCGGTGAGCGAGGGAATCCCCTCGCCACCAGGGGGCCAGCAGGAATGACAGCTGCTTGCGGTCGGTAACACACACTCCATTTACACCATAAGCGGGATTGTGAAGTCAGGTTGAGGAGAAACTGGAGGAAGTCTTTAAGCAGTGAAGCACACTCTCTGCTCCGCACTAATCAAATCATCCCTAATCGCTGATCCTGCCTTTACACGAAACACGCCGTGTGTGTTTGTATGTGTGGGATGTCATAGATACGCACTGCAGTATGAGTGCCACGTGGCTTGGGATGTGTTTGACGATGGCTCATGAGCGATCGTCTGTTTGTACTTGTGTATTTGTCATAAATGTGGGTGTCTGTTGATTTGTGGCTTCATAGCACATTTCTGTGTTGATTTATGTTGATGAAATTCATTTTAAGAAGTTTATTTTCGATGATGTCACGGCGGGTTTTCATCATAAACGTGTTTGTTCGTTGATTTGGGGCTTCATGGCGTGCGCGTGTGTGTTTCTTCGTCCTCGCGCAAGAGACAGAGTGTGCGTAAGAAAAGCCGTGTGTGTGTGCAAGAGTGACTCCTAGCCAACGCACCCATCTGGTGCCGACACTTTAAATCCAAATAAAATGGTCTCTGAGAGCCAAACTACAATTTTGCTCTAAATATAGCCCTTAATAGCCCACACTGCAAGGAAACATGGAGAGAAAGAGTGGGGGGAAAGAAGGGGAATGGGTGGGCAAAAGAGGACACAGAAGACATGGAGAGAACAAGAACATGATGCAAAATGAGCGGAAAAACAGGAAGGATACATGAACATGAGTCGTGGAAAGGCAGGAGAATGAATGGGAGAGTGGGGTAAACTGTGCCGCTTTTTACTTAGGTCGTCAACTAGGCAAGAAGAAATAAGCAATCAGGGAAATTAATATGCCTGATTATATTTCAGAATACATAGGGACACAGAAATATGACTTTTTAAGAAAAATGGTAGAGTGACACGACTTACCCCACATTAGGGGAAATATGTATGAATGTTGAGCCATTAGGGAATATTTTAACTATTTATTTCAGGTAAAATATGAACACTTAATGAACATGAATCTTATTTCAAAGTCTTATTTTGATGCACAATATTCACATTTTCATAAGGCAACTAGAAAAATCCAGTGCATTTGCATTTTATGATATGATATGAGTATTTGTTTTTTTCCTGTATTTGGAGGCAAAACTCATCCTCACTATGTGCCACTGTCACATTTTACCCTGAAGCACCTGACACACTTTACCCAAAAGCTAATATTTTGGGGAAAACAAAATATTCATTGCTAAATGTATTTATTTATTCATGATGTGATTTGATTTGATGATACTTAGCATCTTTGGCATGGATACATTTTTGACGTCAAACTCATTTTACCAGCCATGCAGAAAATTTACTTTGACATGCATTTTTTTAACACACAAAAAAAATTGCTTATATGAATCACAGGCAGCTGAATACAATGGCCTTTTTTTTCTTTGAAAACATGGTCATTCGACAAAAATCATCCAGTTTGCTAGATTACAGGGGTGGCGCATCTTACCCCACTCTCCTCTCCAAAACCAACAGTGACTCATAAAGAGGAGTTTCCAACCAGGGTAGTTTTGAAGCACATTGTAATTATCATTCAAACAAAACACAGCAATACACAAGCGGGGGGGGGGGTAAATGTGAAAAACGCTTTAACAAATCATCGTTGAGCACACCATTTGGATGCTGTTGCCTGTAATTACGAGTAATGATATCCCACATTATGTAGGCACGTTAAGCATGCGCAGATCTGTATCAGGACCAGTGGGTAGCATAGCTGCCTGGCCATTTAAAATATATTAAAGCATCTTCCTTAGAAGCTCAAAATACTCTGAGACGCCACGTGCAGAAACGGAGCCTCATAAATTCTTAATTATATGCTTGAACCCCGATGCAATCATTTGCATGCTCACACACTCGCATAAACAATATGCATCATATTGCTTTCCAGCCAGCTTAAATACAGCCATTTAAAAAGACTGCATAGGCCTGTTTCATGTTACCTCATCGGGTTTACTTGCACGACCTTTTGCTTTTTAATTCAAGGCCAGATTTGTTCAGAAATCCAGAGCGCAATATTTTTCGCACATGCTCACAACAAGTCACAGACTACGATGACAGTTTAGATTGAGTGAAGTTTTCGACTGTGGTAGAACCGCAAGAACCAGCCTTTGTATAAATACCATTGCAGGGAGTTTGTGGTCACTGTGCAGATCTCATCCAGCAATCATCAAAGTATTAAAATGTAATTAATTACAATGATGGGTACCCGCAATCTGAATTGTTTTACATATGCGCAAAGCTTTTAACATTTGATTTTGAGCTGTCAACTGTGCAATAACTTCGTATGAGAATTACTGCTTGCCAAATAGGGTTATTTAACTGAACACTGGCCCTATTGCTACAGTGCATATTATTTTGAAACTGTTTGCAATAATGCACATCATGAATAGGACATGTACTGGAACAAACGGACAAGTCTGTTTGCAGTTAATATTTTTAAATGCCTTCAGATTTCGTTTTCACAACTTACAACGTGTTTACTGGACCTCGGCGGTGGAGTTTTCACAAGTTTCAGCCTGAGGATGATGTAATGTTCAGTTTGCATCAAAACTGTGGCTGACCGACGCTATGCAGTATGGTCAAGAACAGCACAACTACCCCAGACACAGCCTAAGCAGAGCTAAACGGAGAATGAGTTACGTTTCTTTTTCTTGTGCACTGCAGAATTGGGAGGCTACGGGTTTGATTTAAACGAATCAAGGCAAGTGGACCAAAACCATAACCGTGAGACTGACTTCCTGACACAGCCTTTTCTCATTTTCTCAGAAACGCCTGTTATGAGTTCTGCGAGCCACTAGAGCGAAATTCATCCGGCTGCACTAATCAGCTGTTTTATTAACGTTTGTTATGAAAGCAAATCCTGATGTGGGACAGGAATAACTTAAAAGGGTTAGTTCACCCAAAAATGAAAATTAGGCTGTGTTTTACTCACCCCCGAGGCATCCTAGGTGTATATGACTTTCTTCTTTCAGACGAATCCAGTCAGAGTTATATTAAAAATTGTCCTGGCTATTCCAAGCTCTATCATTGCAGTCAGCGGGTGTTGCAGTGCTTCAGTCCAAAAGAAGTGAAATAAAAAGCGCCCATCCATAAAAAAAAGTGTCTCACAAGGCTCCGGGGGTGAACAAAAGCCTCCTGTAGCGAATCGATGCGATTTTGTAAAAAAAAATATCTATATTCAAAACTTAATGATCACTTTAATCTAGCTTGCGCTCACTGTTGTAAAAGGAAGCAGTTCCGTGAGGATGACGTATGAGTTCAGCGCTGCGCATGCGCCGCTCAGAAGTGACGAACGCGGAAGCGCAGGGGAGAGATCAAAACACCGGTCACTTATTAAAAGTACAAAACGAGGATTTGTAAAGAAGAATGTCGGAGGATTTTGATATAAGCCAAGAGGAGACTGGTTTTCCTTTGCTAAAGTAAGGAAACTTTGCTTCCTTTGCTCCTGTAAACAAACGTTGGTTTTCACGAGACTCACCGGC